GGGGGGGAGGAGGAGGAGGAGGAGGAGGCGGAGGTGCGGGCTCATGGCTGGAGCGGGATGCGGAGGGGCTGCGGGAGCCGGCTGTGCGGCCCCGCTCTCCGCTGAGGATTTTATTCCCCCGCCGGGAGCTGTCAGGCAGGAGGAACGTGATTCACACGCCGTCACGCATCTCCCTCTCCTCCCCGCCGCTCGCCCTTTTCCCTGCCACTGACCCGGGAAGCGGCTGCGCGGGCGGTCCCGTGCCCCGCCAGCCTCCCTGCCCCGCTGCTGCGGGCAGGACGGGTCTGCTCCGCTTGCTGCACGTACCGGGGAGCCCAGCGGGCGGGGAGGCTGCACCGGGAACTCGCACAGCCACCGGGTGCCTTTTAGACGCCAGAATTAGGAGGTTAAACTTAGCCCAGCCCAAGCGTTCTTGAAGTTCCCAAGTCTGAAAGACGCCGGTGGGAACAGGCGTAAGATCCCTGTTAGGCTGCACCTGGGGATAGGTTCACATTTAATTTTAGCGCCTGGGTTTGTCTGCCAAGTACGCAGTGATTTCGGTGTGGATTTAGTCGTTAACTGAAAAAGCAAACAGCCCTGAACTTCACGCAGAGCAGTGAGCGGGAGCCCTGTCCGGCCGGCTGGGAAGGTGTCAGGGCTTGAAGTGTGACTGAGGATCCAGGGATGTCCCTGAGCAGCAGGTGCAGTCCAGAGGTGCCACAGTCATCCCAGCGTTTCTTCCCAGCTTTTGGAGATCATGCATTGCTTTATTTCAGACCTCCAGCTTTTCCTTGGACTGCTGTTGTGCTTTCTGGGGCCGTGAAGAGTGATTAATTTTTTTTCCCCATAGACTTTCCAAAGATGTGATAACTGTGCTATTTTTTTTCCCCTTGGCAGCAAAAGAATCAATGGGATATTATGCAATGGACACCTCATTTCTTTTAAATTGGCAGGGAGAGGTAATAATGCAGACTGATTTATTACTGCAGTGCCTGCAAGCTTGCATAATTGCAAAATAGTCCCAGGGAGAAGGAAGCTGAGAACAGGGGTTCAGAATCATTCTCTCAGGTGTTCCCGTGCATGCTGACCAATTTAACTGCCTTGTCATTAATGAGGTGACTTTCCTCCTCTTGGAGCAGGGTTTGAGCATTGCTAGTGCAGTCTCTGTGGCTCTAGGTCCATCAGATCTGATAGCCATGGAGCACTTGACCATTTTTTGCTTTTGCCACCCTGCAGGAATTTATGGAATTACTAAAGTAACCACGGGGAAAGAGCTGAGAGCAGTGGGGGCTTGTATTTCTCTCCAAAGTATCTGCCTCTGCTTGTGCTCAGTCTGCCAAAGGGGATGGAGCAAGTACCTCATTCCTACACATCTGTAATTCTTTCTGCCTTGCTCATGAGTTTTCTGAAAGGACTACAGGTTCTAGCTCAATAGGTAAGCACTGAGTAGCAGATGCTAGCCTGGGTGCTAGTCCTTGCTCCTCAGCACCAAAACAACCCTGCCTGTTATTGTGCAGTTTGCTTGCAAGGTGCCAAGGGGAAAATTGCATTTGGGTGCTGAGAATCCTGTTTCTCCAGTACAAAAATATTCAGAACAGAACCTGTGATATTCTGTGATGTTCTGTTCAGAATAGGACCTAGTGATATGCTAGGTGTGCCAGATGTACAGGGATCATAAAGACATGGAATAGCTTTAAAATGTAAGTAATATAGTCTCTGTGAACTGTTTTCTGACTTTCCCCCCATATTTCAGGTTCCCCCCACCTTCCTGCCCCCTGTATAAACTAACATTTCCTGGCTTGTGGCTGTTTATAAGATATGGCATTATGTGCTGGCTTTTGTTTATTTGGGAAAATCTTTTCTATGCCATCAGTTTGTTTTTCTTTTTGTGGCAAGGTTCTGTGCAAACAGGCTTTCTGCTTTGGAAAGCACCAAGCAGCCTGGTTCTGAATGCAGTTGTCTTGGATTTCAGGGCAAGGACTTCCCTTGTGTGAAGTCCTCATCACACTGACGTCAATAGCAACTCAGATGAAGCCAGCTTTTGATGGCTGTGACTTCAGTTGTCACTTTAAGTAGGTCAGGTATAGAATAACAATTGGAGCTGACCTGCATTTTACCCCTTTTTTGAGCAATTCATGGAGGTCAGCAGTGGCTGAGCTCTTAGAAGACTGCTGCAGATGGTACGTTAAGGGTCTGTCCCAGAGGATTTCTTTGGTAGAGAGTGGTCGGTGCTTCATGTCACATAGAAATCTGCATTAACAGAGAATATTTCATTGGAGTAACTGCTTCAGTGGT